CCGATCCAAAATACTCGGGGTGGAATTTTGACCAATTAAGTAATTCCGTAGCAAACAGCAAAATCGGCTGTTCACAATATCATCTAGACTTTTACATAATAATAATTCCTTCACATTGTGACATTATAATTTGACGGGATAGCTAAATTTATGGTTATTATCTAGCTCTTGTATTATGTATTGCCTTTTTTGGTCCCCACCCAACAACCCATTTCTCTATGGCACATATGACAAATTCTCTAAGTTTAAAGGTAATATTTTTGTCATTATTATTATTTAAAATCATTTCATTTACCCCCATGAGTGGAGTCAGTGAATATGCTGCCATACATTATCATGATGAATTCATGAAGGTTTTGGTCATTTAGATTGTTACTGTAAAATAGGTGAATTAATCAATGTTCAAAAATCAGTTCATGCTCAAGTACTATTACTTACCCATACTTTTGGATATAATAATAATTGTTAGCAGCCTCCTTAAGGAGTATATTGACTTGGTACCTCAGGTTACTGATGATCTCTCTGACCTTCTCTACTACAGTTGTAACATTTGGATGTGCCTGCATGCCATCCAGAATTCGGGTAGCAAATTCTTTATATAATTCTGAGGTGCTGTTCTAAGTGTGCAGAAAAAGTGCATGACTTTCTCTATATATTCGATCATTCAAGACCTTAAAGGCAGAGTTTGAATGTTAATTTTAAATGTGGCAGCAGAACTCATGATAAACTTACAGATTGATTGATCATTTGTTTCTTTTCTAAAATTTTTATTAGGTTTAAGTTATTTGGTCTGCTGGTCACTCACTCTGCAATTTCCTGATCACTTCTTCTGAAAAGTTCTTGGCAGTCTTCATTATTTATATTACCCAATTCTTTTTTATTGGAGTTCTCTTTGACAAAATTGCTGTTACTTGTTTCTTGATATTCAGAGGGGGGAGAATGTCCTATCAAATCAATAATAAACATTCATATCATAATAAGCAATAATGCTTTGAATATCATTTAGGAGGAACTTATAGTAATAGGTGAATCCCGCTCCCAGTCACTGGACATTTTACCAAATAATTGACCAGTCACATTTTCTGAAATTTTTGTCGATCATTTCCGAAGTCACATATAGTCGCACATATGAAACTTAAGGGTTACATATAATCAAGGTATAGAATGTCACAATCGAACACATGATACGGTTGTAACAAAAATTTTACTTCTCGACTTGCTTTTTCGAACTGGTTTTCGCTTGCAGTAAAATAAACGGTTTTTCAGCGGGAATCTGTTGACAAAGTTTCACCGGCAAAATTATAGTTTCTTCCCACATTGCGCATAGTTTTTTCGGTTGCAACGAGACGCTGGCATGGCCATACTAATAATAATACAGTTCTATGTGTGAACTACTTTTTTACTTATTACCACTTTGTTTATTACAGCAACCGTTTTGGAGAGATAA